ATTAGTTATTCACCATGTCGAACATTATTTATTGTGGCTTATGTTAATGGCCAATTATCAGTTGTTAATCGTCTTACTGTTGATATTTGTATGAAGTAAGAAAAATAAAACAAGAAGATTTTTATTTATGATTTTTGTTTATTTAAAAATATTTTTTTTGTTTTTAAAGTTATTCATCAAAAGATGCTGTTTGTTCATTATCATGGAATCCAACTCAACAAAATCGATTTACTTGTTCTACAATGGCTGTAAGTTAAATCTAAATAACATATCATATAAAAATAATAAGACTAATTTAAATTAATTTGAAGTTCCATATCAAACAAGATTTCTTTTCAACTGAGCATGTGAACTTAGATTATTCTCTTTCGAATTGTATAGAATTTTTTTTTATCAGATGTTCATAAACGAAATGACACAATAGATACGAGGAATACCCTCATATCAAGTTCGTACTTTTCATATAAATCAGAATCTCAAGACAATATATCGATGTCTATTTCTCTTTCGTAAACATTAGAGTCTTCTGTGACAAATGAGATTTTTCGGGATTCAAAACTGTTCATCAGAATTCTAGTAAACACGTCTTCGAGCAACTATTGTTTTATGAGATTATAGAAAATATTTCTCTTTTTGAAATAATATATAACTTGATATTTTTTATAGATTGATAAATAAAATGATATGAGAAGAAAGATAAATAGTCGTTCAGTGAATTTGCAATAATTCATAAAATAAATTGAAATATTATGTTAAACTAAGAGCCGATATGGAAAGTATTTTTCATGATCTCAAATAAGATGATTATCAATCATTTTATATAACTTTTCACAGTCAATTTTTCAAGCATTTTTAGTGTTTCCTGATAACAATCAATATATTTTTGTTTTATAAGTTACAACTGATCATTTATTAGTTGTTTAGCGTTGAAACGCTTAGCTAAATAACGCTGACTGATATGATAATGATCATTAACATGTTTTAATAGTTGTTTTAATTAATAATTAGAAAGTTTAATTGAACGAATACTCATTGATAAACATTTAGTGTATCCTTATTTAAAATATTTATTAAATATGTTATGAATTGTTCCTTTTGAAATATTTATTTTATGAATCAATATCAATATTCGATATCAATTGAGCGAGTATCTCTCTTCTCGTGTCATTTTGTTTATGAATCTATAACAAGATACAGCTATATACCTTTCTTAAGAAACTAACGTTTCCTATATGTTGATAAAAAAAACAGTTGTTTTTGAGAGTGCTTCTCTTCTCTATTGTGCCATTTCGTGTATGAACAAAGTGATACAAAAAGATTTTGTTTTAGTACTCTTCTTTTCAAGAGAAATAAGATATAATACTTGTGCTATTAATTTTACATAACAGATTAAACAAAAATAATAAGTTTTAATTAATTGTTTTTTTTTGTTTGTTTGTAATGTTTCTTGATGAATGGAAAGATGTTTTGATTTGTTTTAGGGTGAATATGCTCATGTTGATATATCTGAATATATATCAAAATCCACAAGGGATAAAGTAGCTTTTTTTTTCTTGTATATTTAAAATATTTGATTTTTATATTTTTCCTATTTGTTATAGGAAGAAAGCGAAGTCGAGAAAATGAGAACAATAAGTGGCGATGATGGTTTGTTTAAGAAAAATATTATTTTTGATATTTAAAATAAATAAATATTTATTTATTTAAAGAATCTGAATCAATATCAAATGATGATGAAGAAATAAAAGAAGAAAAAGAAATAATTCCAAAATGGTTTGAACGTGCATCAACAATGATAAATGAAAGAAAATTAATTGAATTACAAGAATCATTTCAATCAACATCAACATCAAAATATCTTGAAAGTCGTTATTTAATATGGAATAATATAGGTACAATAACATGTTATAATGAACAAATTCAAATATCATTTCATGATGTATCATATCATCATTCAATAACAATTGATAATAAAACAGATAAATATAATATTGCTGATTTATCATTATCATCAATTGTACTTGCTTCATCTGATACAGGTAAATTTTTATGTATATTATATCAATCATGGGATTCAAATATGCGTCAATGGACATTAAATACTGAAAATAATGAAAAAATTGAAACTATTAATTTATGTGAAGATTTTATTGTTATTGGAACATCTCAAAGATTAATACGTTTAATGAGTTTATCAGGTATTCAACAAAGAATAATTCGTCTTCAAGGTCCAATTATTTCTATATCATCTTATCAAAATCAATTATGGATTATTCATCATTCGACACAAGGTTTTTCTTTTTCTTTTTCTTTTTTTTAATTGTTGTTATAAGAAAAAAACTTGATATTAATTTAAAATAGGTCTTTCAAAAGAACAATCTATGTCATATGTTTATATTGATATTGAAAATGATAATTATTTAACTGGTTCATTACCATTAACACCAAAAACAAAATTAATTTGGATTGGGTTTAATCTTTTAGTTTTTCTTTTCTTTTCGTTTTTTTTAATTAAAATTTATTTTAGTTTTTCTGATAGTGGAAAATGTTATTATTTAGAAAAATCTGGTTATTTAAGTATGCTTAGACGTACAAATGGAAATGAATTTGAACCATTATTAATTTTCCTGATTTTGTTGCATATTTAATTGCTAATTGAAGTGCTTTTGAATCCATTAATTGACAAATTTCAAATGCCCGATATTCTCGATTTGATTTACATGATAACNATGAAACTTTTTAAAAATATTTGCTGCCGAAGGCGGTCACGCTCGCAATCATCTTGTAAAAAATGAAGCCTTAAGACTTTAAGGTTTCCTAAAAAGTTAATCAAACAAAACGTTAGAGAATATTTCCATCAACTATGACTTTATAATCGCTACTCATGCTACAGCAAAAAAAAATTCTAATTCTACTTAACACTTTATTAGACAAAAATATTATTTATTTCTGTAGTTTTGAAAAAACTTTTCATATATTGAAGACTTATTTTTTTTCGGGTCGTTTCAACTAATAACAATGAAAAACTCCCGTTACTATGGCTAGCATTCTTCTGTTAGCCTCCAGCCTAATCGTCACTGGTGAAGACTTTGCTAAACTTCTAGAGGGGACTCAAGTATCTTTCGAACCAGAACTTCACTGTTTCCAGGGGGCTACAAGCGTTCTTTGAGCATCTATCTCTGTAGCCTCTATCCTATTACGACCGAGTAATTAAACTGAGTATTCTTTTGCGTATGTAATTTTGAAGTTTGGGCTACTCTGATTATACACTAATTATTACGTGCTTCTTCGTTGAAAGTATCAAACTGTTCCAAGAAAAAGGAGTCATTCACTACCTTTCTATATTCGATCATGAAACAGTAAAATGCACAATTCTTCATTCTTTAAATAATGACTTTTTTGATCATAACAAATTTTCAAAAACTTGTAGAGGGGGCTCAAGCCTCCGTAGAGGGGGCTGAGCCCTCTCTAGCCCCCGTCTGGTTACACCACTAGATATAAGGTGCGACTAATGATTTAATAGTTAACGTTGAAACGATTGGCTAATCGATATTGATTGTTATAACGATGATTACTAACAGATTTTAGCAGTTATCTTCATTTTTAATTAGAAAGTTTCACTGGATGAGCGTTCATTAATTGAAATTCAGCTTGTTCATATTTTTAGTATTTATTAAATCAGCTAGTCAGGAAAAAAAGAATTGTTTCAACATGCGTCTACTAAAGAGTAATAAGTATCAATATATTGCTCAGTTATTTTCAATTATATGAAAGGTACAGATTCATTTTTGAACATCTGATAAAAATTGATTTTCTTTGAATATCCTTTTTGTGAAGAGAAGTAACATCGGATATTTGTGTCATTACTGTTACATATTATACAAAAAGTCAGAAGTTACACACCTTTTTATTATTCGTAATGAACATTGATAAATGAAGAGATGTTTTGATTTATTTTAGGGTGAATATGCTCATGTTGATATATCTGAATATATATCAAAATCTACATCAATACCATTGGATAAAGTAGTTTTTTTCTTGTAATCTTTTATATATCTGAATTTTATCTTTATAGGAAGAAAGCGAAGTCGAGAAAATGACAACAATCAGTGGTGATGATGGTTTGTTTAATAAATACTATTTTTGATATTTAAAATAAATATTTATTTGTTAGAAGAATCTGAATCAATATCAAATCATGATGAAGAAGTAAAAGAAGAAATAATTCCAAAATGGTTTGAACATGCATCATCCATAATAAATGAAACAAAACCAGTTGAATTACAAGAATCATTTCAATCAACATCAACATCAAAATATCTTGAAAGTCGTTATTTAATATGGAATAATATAGGTGCAATAACATGTTATAATGAACAAGTTCAAATATCATTTCATGATGTATCATATCATCATTCAATAACAATTGATAAAAAAACTGATAAATATAATCTTGCTGATTTATCATTATCATCAATTGTACTTGCTTCATATGAAACAGGGAAATTTTTATCTATATTATATCAATCATGGGATTCAAATATGCGTCAATGGACATTAAATACAGAAAATAATGAGAAAATTGAAACTGTTAATTTATGTGAAGATTTTATTGTTATTGAAACATCTCAAAGATTAATACGTCTAATGAGTTTATCAGGTTTTCAACAAAGAATAATTCGTCTTCAAGGTCCAATTATTTCAATAACTTCTTATCAAAATCAATTATGGATTATTCATCATTCAACACAAGGTTTTTCTTTTTCTTTTTTAATTGTTATAAGAAAAACATTTGATATTAATTTAAAATAGGTCTTCCAAAAGAACAAGTTATGTCATATGTTTATATTGATATTGAAAATGATAATTATTTAACTGGTCCATTACCGTTAACACCAAAAACAAAATTAATTTGAATTGGGTTTACTCTCTTTTAATTCTCTTTTTTCTTCCTTTATTTTTTAAATAAAATTTGTTCTATAGTTTTTCTGATAGTGGAGAATCTGGTTATTTAACTATGCTTAGACGTACAAAAGGAAATGAATTTGAACCATTATTTATTTGCAATCTTAAACAAGAGGTTTGTTTTATTTAATAAATTTATTTCAAAAAAAAAAAACATCGAATTTTATTTTCCTTAATTAATTAGGCTGAGAAAAATAATTTAGCAAATTATTGGTTATTAGGAATAAATGATTTTGATGGAAAATTTCAATTACGTGTTATTGAACTTCGTGATCAATCATATCCTGAACTTGTCCCATCACCAATTGTTTCTCTTTCATTATGTTTATATGAAATAAATACATAAAAAAGTCAACTTGAAGTTAGTTTTTTTATTTTTTTCTATTTTAATTTCTTGAAAGAAAGACAATGTTTAATTAAAATGTTTGCTGTCAGTTAAGAAATAGAAAAATATATTAAACAATAAATTTTTATTTAATCTATTTAGTTTTCATGTAAATCAAATCGAGAATGTCGTGCATTTGAAATTTGTCAATTAATGGATTCCGTAGCACTACAATTAGCAATAAAATATACAACTAAATCAGGAAAATTAACATTAACTCAACAAATAAAAAGAAAAAGAGTTAAAGAAAATAAATACATCATCATCAAATAATTCTGTCAACAAATGTTCCATTTAATAATGCATTTCGAAAAAAAAATTGACAAATTCATCCAATGAAACACCAACAAATGATGAATTAAGTAAATGGAAACCATCAATTAATAAATCTCGTATTCCAACAACAAATAAAACAACAACACAGGTTTTATTTCATTTTTTAAAGTGTTTTTATTTACTTTTGTTTATTTTTCTGAAAATTCATTTAGATTGATGTTAATGTTAAAACATCAAATGAAAATATTAATGATGAAGAACTGCAAAAAATAAACGAAATAGACTTCAACAAATTTGCTTGTAATCGATAAACATATTGTGTCTTCTCTTCTATTAAATATTTAGATTCATATTGTTATATTACTCGATATAATCACTGAAAAATTATTCAATTATAAAATAAAACTCATTTATTTTGTGCAATAAATAGATTCTTTGTTGAAGGAAATAATCAGAGAAAGTTTATATCGAGATTTTTGCGGCTACTCTCGTATTTTTTCTCTTTCATGTTTTCTTTGCGATATAAAAAGCATCATCTATTCTGGGACATTTCAAAGTCTTTCTTAAAATGCAAATGAATCGAATACATTTGTAAATGTTCATAATAGTACAGTTTCTTATTTTTATAGAGATAAATAGTTATATACAATATGTTAATGATGATCAGAGCCCGTGCGAAGGATCAAATAATAGGGGGGTGTAAGGAATTATTTTCAGAAAAATCATAAAATGTGCACAAAATCTGCTCTTGTGGCCAGAAAAAACTGAAAATTTTTGATTTTTGGGGAGTATACATCCCCCTCCCCCCCACTCGAGCGGGGCCTGATGATGATAGATAGTCTTCAATCAGTTTAATATGATTGCACCATATGATCAACCTAAAAAAGGCTTTAACTAATCAAGTTGAAGTTTTACAATATAATCAATGTGTGTGTTTGTAAGATTTTCAAGACACAAATTAAATCAATAAATAGAATGATATTAATGTTAATTTAGAAAGAAGCGCATACAGAAAAGAAATTTAATGTGCAAATAACAACAAAACAAACAGAANTTTGATGGATGAACATATATTGAGTTTTGTACCCTTTAAAAACCATTAGGATACATTGAATTAAACAATTTCATTTAGTATTTGCTATCATTTAGACAAAAAAAATGATATTCTTATTTAATTATATAAACTGCTATGAGATAGAAACTATTTCAATTCTCTACACATTTATATCATGATTGTGAAAAGTCTCTAGAGCCAACTATCGGATAAGTTAAGATTCAGAAATAAAACAGATAACAGTAGATGGTTCTATTGCTTCCATTCTAATGGTCAGATATTTCAGCGATCTAACCTCACTAATTAATCAGCAAAAGTTTAAGTTTCTTGACACGATCAACAATGGCTTTTCACAAGCTTAGTTTTTCTGAGTTTCTAAAATTGCTGTGTTTTCAATGAAATATTTATATTTATATAAGCTGTCTGTTTTTATATAATAGTCTTTCATTTAGTAAACTGAATAAAATGGTTGCTTACCAGCTAATAGTCTTTGCTTTTTCATTACAATAGCTTTCTTACGCCATTCCATACCCTTGTCGAAATTACCGGCTTGTGCTGCGATTTTGCCAAGATCTTCATATAAATCATCAAGTAAAGAGTCATTGAGTGAGAGTTGTTCTGTCAAGCGAATAAAATATTTCTCAGCCAAATCAAATTTACTCATCTCCGATAGTAGTCTTCCTAATGTTCGAAGATCTGTTTCTCCACTTCCAAGTTTTTGTTTTATATCCATAAGAACGTGCTTTAATTCATGTTCATTATCACTACATAAAGTCATTCCGATAATCCATACATGACTATCACTACTGCGTTCGATACTTTTCAAACGAAAAATAGAACCAAGCATAAAAAGAATTTCCTCTTCGCCACGATATGCACTATGTGGACTGATATCAGCGAATGGTTTTGTAATAGTTACGAGAGGATCAGCATCAATTTCAAATAGTACAGATTCGAAGTTGCTTGTGGCATCAGAAAGATTAAGAAATGAAAGAGCTTTTTGTTTGTTAGTACTAGTGGAAAAGAATGAATTTACTGAAATTAACTGGCCATGACATTGTTTCAAAGGTTCCAATTCATTACTTGACACCCTCTGGCTTCGATAAACGCGTAGAGTTTTTTTAGCTTGGTTTTCTTTCAATTGATTATAAATATTGAAAATAAACTCACGAAATAAAAAAATTAAATGAATATCTTGCATACGTAGAGCTTCATTAAGAGTCTTGTAAAAGAATGATTCTCTTGTATACCACCATAGAGTTCTGTTTGCTGAATATTTCTTTTCAAATTCATGAAGATTGTGTAATTCAGCAATGTCATTTTCATATTTCTGTTTACAAAGGCAAATAAGTTCTTGTTTATCTGCTTCAATGTATTTTAATCGGAGAAGACAATCAATCAGAAGTTGAGAATAAACAAATTGACCATTAATACCCACGGTTGATGTACCTGCACTAGTACTTGTAGTAAAAATATTAATGGACAAAGGTTCTTCTACTATTTTCTGAATTCTATGATCCTCTCCAATTCGAAAAATGAGCTCGTCAAGTTCAACAACAACAGGTTTTACCTGTTAAGCAAACATTATAAAATGAAATCAAAATTATTTTAAACAATTTTACTTTTGCAAATGTGCGAGCCCATTGTTCGTGCTTTTTCTTATCCCTGCAGTATACATATATTGATACAACTTGTTGAAGTTTATGAATCGAAGGAACTATTTCTTGTCCTAATTGACCACTAACAATCATTATTAGTCGATCTTTATGTGATCGTTCTTCAATATATTTTTGACACTGTGTTACGTCTTGAAACTTTAAGAGATTGTTAATAATAGAACGCAATCNGTACCTGGTCACGGTACCTGGTCATAGTATCCGGTCACGGTACCCAGTTAGAGTGGGTGCATGATTGGGGACGTATATGTGCGTTTATATGTCGCATATATCAGAAAGTTAAACTAAAACTAAATCTATTCCTAAATTTATCGAGTAGTTTTAGTTTTTCTTTTCTCCATTTATATTCGAACTCGAATTAGGCAGCTGCTCAAGTGAACAGAACTAGATGATGAAAGAAAAAGATTTAGAACTAGTGTAATTAACACTTCAACATTCTTTGGAAATATACAAAAATTGAGAGTTGAAATGAGTCTATAGCAGATATTCTTTACTTAAATTGCAACTCAGCAAAAGCTTGAGAGATCAGCTATATATATATCTTATTGGTATTGTTCGAGAATGACGTGATAGATGGATACATACTGAATTTTGTACTCGTTAGAAACCTTTAAAATACATTGAGTCTAATGATTATATTGAGTATTTGTTACTACATTCAATAAAACAATGAACGATATTTTTATTCAGTTATATAGTTTGCTAATATGTAAAAACAGCTTCGATTCTCTCCTGATCAGTGTCATGATATAGAAATATTGAAAGAGGAAAATAAATATCAGTGGTATTGTAAAAAGTCTCTAGAGACGATCTTTGGATAATATAAGATTTAAAAATAGAGCAGATGATAGTAGATCTACTAATTCAGTTTCAACTGTCAACTATTTCAAAGATCTAGCATGACTACTTATTAAGCAAAAATCAGGATTTCTTGATGAGATCAATTACGACTTTTCGCGAGTTTCGTTTTTCTGAGTTTTTAAAATTGTCTTCTTCCTAATGAAATATTAGGTTTTATATAGGATGTATATTTCCGTATAATAGACTTTCTTTCGATAAACTTATAATAGGATTGCGTACCTATTAACTGGTTTTGGTTTTTCAGTGCAATAGCTTTTTGACGCCATTCCATACTCTTGTCCAAGTTACCGACTTGTGATGCCAGTTTGCCAAGCTCTTGATACAAATCACCAAGTAAAGGATCATTGAATGAAAGTTGTTGTACCAAGCGAATAAAATATTTTTCAGCCAAATCAAATTTACTCATCTCCGATAGTAGTCTTCCTAATGTTCGAAGATCTGTTTCTCCACTTCCAAGTTGTTGTTTCATATCCATGAGAACGTTTTTTAACTCATGTTCATCATCACTACATAAAGTCATTTGAATAATCCATACTTGGTCATCACTACTGCGATTGACACTTTTCAAACGAAAGATAGAACCAAGCATAAAAAGTATTTCTGATTCACCAGGAAATTCACTATGTGGACTGATATCAGCGAATGGTTTTGTAGTGATCATCTTAGGATTGGCAGTGATTTCAAATAGTACTGGTTCTAAGTTGTCCATAGCATCAGAAGTGTTAAGGAATGAAAGAGCTTGCTGTTTGTCAGTGCTAGTGGAAAAAAATGAATTCACTGAAATAAACTGATCACAACATTGCTTCAAAGTTTTCAATTCATCACTTGATATCATTTGGCTTCGATAAACTTGTAGAGGATGTTTAACTTGATACTTTTTCAATTGACAATGCATATCGAAAATAAATGCACGAAATAAAAAAATTAAATGAATATTTTGTGTACGCAGAGCTGCATTAAGAGTCTTATAAAAGAATGATTCTCTTGTGTACCACCATAAAATGTTTTTAGGTGAATAATGCTTGTCAAATTCATCAAGATGGCTCAACTCAATATCATTGTCTTTATATTGCTGTGTACAGTAATCAATTAGTTCTCTTTTATCCTTCTGAGTGGATTTTAGCCGTTGAAGGCAATCAATCAGAACTTGAGAAAAAACAAATTGACCGTTTACACCCATTGTTGATGTACCCGCAGTAAAAATATTAATTGAGAATGGTTCTTCTATCATTTTCTGAATTTTATGATCAGCTCTAATTCGAGAAACGAGTTCATCAAGTTCAACAACAACAGCTTTAACCTATCAACAAAAAGATCGTAAAATGAAATAATTAGAACTTATTCAAGATAATTTCACTTTTGCAAATTTGCGAGCCCATTGTTCGTTACTTGTCTTATCCATGCAATATACGTAGATTGATATAACTTGTCGAAGTTTATAAATTGAAGGAACTATTTCTCGCCCTAATCGACCACTAACAATCATTACTAATCGATCTTTTTGTGATCGTTCTTCAATATATTTTTGGCATTGCTTTATATCTTGAAAATTCATGAGACGATTAATGATAGATCGTAATCTTTGTTCTGTATTTCGATTCTCTTCAACGTTTGCATTAGCATCGAGCCAGATAAGACAGAAAATTTCAAGACGCATATCATCGATCTTTGTATGAGAATCATCGATCTTTGTATGAGAATCATCGATCTTTGTATGAGAATCATCGATTGGTGGAATAGAAGTGGCCATGTTAATCAGGGAGACTAAATAGAATAAAAGTTTTGAATGTTATCTATTCGATTGAGTTACCGAATGTATGAGTGTTTTTGGCAGTTTAAAACGAAGTTACACTCTGACTTTTATTATTTTATTTAATAGTATTTATGATATTATTTTTCTTTCTAGTTTTGACACAAAACCAGAGAATAGGAGAACAAGATGTTCGCATTTGTGAAAGAGAATGACTTTTGTTAGATCCTCAGCTTTTGTAGATAAGATCATCGAACCAACGTGTAAAACTTTAGCATCGATCGATGTTATTTGTATCTTTTTCGTTTAGTCATCTAACAAGATTATAAACCAGATGATATCATCTCTCAGTAAGTTCGACACTGTCAGTTGGTAGTGTGTAGATTTTTAAGTTCAATCAGTATGAATTATTGTCCTACCTTTCCTCTTTCGAAAATTTCTACTGCAAACTTAGCTGAATTTATCAAATCTATGTGCTTTTTGTTCTTATAAAAGGGTTGTATATTCAAAATATGTTGTTTCTTATGTGATTGATAAAGTCCTACAAACTGACCCTGGAAGAAATAGTAAGTTCAACTTTTCTAGCAAAGCCTATCAACTTAATTAAATTGCCATACATATGACAGTAAAATATAAATTACCGTCTATTGAGATTGATGTCAAACGGATAGAAGTCCTTTGTTTGTCGAAATCTTTTCCAGTGTCGAGCATATTTCAGAAGAAAAGATTGTTCTCTCTTATATCTGAATAGAGAAATGGTTCTTTTCCGCTGCAATATCTAATTATTTCTAAGAAGAAGTCTTTATTTGGATACGAAGTCTGCTCTTTCGATCAAGCTGATTTTAAATCGTAGATATTAAGTTGCTCATATTATCGTCCGAAGTATGAAATAAACAACAAACATTTCACATAGTTTGAATTTTCTGAATAATGCAAATACATTGAGAGAAATAGCATTACTGAAGAGAAAAAGTAAGCGATTATATCATTCATATTTATAAAAACTCGTAAGGAAATATAATGATGTTTTAAAAAATTCAGATATAATTCGAACAGAAAGGAAAACATTTTTTTCCCGTTGACAACTATCACCATTTTACCTTTTCCTTCTACTTTAACTCGATTTTAGACTATCGGTGCTGCCCTTTAATTCCAGATGACACAAATGAAAAGAAAAAGTACTTTATTCGATGTACATATCATTGGACAAGTTTATCATTTCTCTATATTGTCGACAATCTCTTTTGAAAAAACTTGTACGGAAGGATGGAGGAAATCTTTGCAGATGAAATTTTAGTTTTGAGAATTCAAAAACCTATGTCATATTAGCTCTACATAATTTCATTATTAAGAGTTCAGCAATGTTTTGTTATTTGAAAACTTCATTTCGCTCAAAAACCCATTTCTATAACACGAAATTATAAGTGTTTTTATATTAAGTTTTCTCTTCCTAATTAATGTAAGTTTTTTATTTTTAGTTTTAACTTGACGTTTCGAACGATAATATCGTCCTTGTTCAGAAGAAATGTACAAATAGAATTTTCTTTTACATATTTATAGTCAAAATTATCCCTTTCTTTTTGTTTAGTAGTGGTACGGACGACGATTATTCAGCTTTATCGTACCAGTCTATTACCGTATTGTCCGTATCAATACTAAATCAAGAGAAAGAGTTGATTTTGACTATAAATATGTAAAAGAAAATTCTATTTGTACATTTCTTCTGAACAAGGACGATATTATCGTTCGAAACGTCAAGTTAAAAAAAAAACAAAAAACTTCAATTAATATAAAAATGTCAACAATCTTTTTCAATAGAAGACAAAAGAAATTATAAATGATTTTATAGTTCTTGTAGATAAAAAGAAAAAGAACATCTCAGGCAGAGCAGTTCTTCAAAAATAAACACTTTTATAGGCTTAACAGTTTCATTAAAACACTGTTTGTCGGAATTTTTAACGCATATAAATGTGTTAAGCATGAATAAGCCTGTTAAAAGACGTTGTTTTCCCTCAATCTAAGTACTTTTACGAGTTTCTCTGGTAGCTTCTATCAGTTTTATCACGTTCATAGTTTCATTCGTATTCGATTGCAATTTTGCTCGAAAGGCGTGGTTTTATATGATGATTTCTAAAGCTTGTTTTATGAGATTAAGCTTCAACTCTTTATTTCTTGCTTTTCCGCTAGATTTACCGTACCTTTATAGATTCGTTACTTAAAATCTAGGTATATTGTTTATTTCAGTACATAGTGGACACTATTCCACTTCAGTAACACCCATGCCACTTAATGCATATGATAATGCACTCGACCTTCTATATCGATAAGCAGCATCATTGAGCCGAACAAGTGATCTGCTTTTATTTACTGACTAAGTGAAACTTCTAAGCCGTTTGCATAATATAAATTCCTGATTGCTATCAGCTTCCAGATGTAAAAACCATGCAAAAAATTTTGTCGAAAAATCAGAAAAAAATCAATTAGTTTTTCAGTAAAGACCAATTAAAATATTGTTATTTAATCCTGACTAGAAATTGATTTTTCACGTTTAAATATAGGTTTCAATTAATGGCAGTCGTTTTTATCGTAATGTGGGTAACATCTGGTTGTTTTAAATTTTTGCCGATTTTCAACACTTTAATTGTAGCAACAGCGTTTGTTGCTAAAATTTAAAAACTCTCCTATTATAATGATCAGCGAGGCAATACTTCCTCTCCAAAACACGGGAATTGATCTATTTCTGGCATACATATTGCATCCCTTATCACGACAATAAAAAAAAGTTTCTTAAAACAACCACAGCTGTTGCTTAAATCGGTTTACGTAAAAGGGAATGAATATTTGACAAAAACACAACTCCTTCAGTCATTTTTATCGTCACAAATAATAGTCTAACAGACTTAACAGTTAGAAATGTTCCCTTGTAAGAAAATGGAGTTTGAACTTAGGAAGATTTTTCGTAATTTATTTTTCTGTCCGTGATCAATGAAAACTTTTCCAAGTGTAATGCTTCACAAAGAAAATGAAATTTTCTTTTATTGTTAGTTGTGACTATTCGTGTGACACAGTGTTGAGTCAACTGTAATGAATGAAAGTTAACGTTGTTTATGTCTCTCGTATTGACACATTCAAAAATGAAACTAAATTGTTAACAGAAAAATCATCTGTTACATCATGTATATTGAATTTTATCACTTTAAAATTATTGAAAAATGGGAGTTATTGTCCATACTAGTGTTCTTGCAGCTTTTTTTTTATAGTAGAAGCAATAGACCTGAAACTTTGTTGTTGTTTATTGCCAAAATGACACAATAGTCTATCTAAGTTACAAAGAGTTTGCTTTCGTTCGATACAAGAAGAATGAACTTTAAAATTATTTTAAAAACTTTAAGACTTCGATTGTAGTAAGCAAAGCCTATTTTGAATATGCTTTATAAGACTTCTCAGTTCCGAAAATATTTCACAGGATTTGAATAAAGATTTTCGAAATCGAGGGGCAAATATAAGCAGAAAATTTAAGATTTTTATTCAAATAAAAGATCACAGTATCGAACAGCTGGCACTAAAATTTAAATTTGTGCTGTCATATGAAAAAGTTTCTCTTGGGTATATTTCGAGAACATCGCTCAAAGCTAAGGGTGGAGAGAATCAGGAAATTTCTGTATACATTGAGAATCATATTCTCAATTTTAGTCAAGTCCAAATGATCGATTGAGATGATCAACCGATTCTGATGTAATTTTGGTAACCGTCATATAGTACGTTTACTTTTCCTCTATTTATTGATTGATGCCATTTCGGATAGCTTCTTATGGTCTCTCATGCCAATAATCGGTCCCTGGAAACGTAGCTACACCAAGAAAAAAATAGCATCTATTTACGAGAGGAAATATTTAATTATCAAGTATATCTATTGACTATCTAGATTCTTGACAGGGAAAAAACAGAAATACTGGTGTACATGCAACAAAAATGAATTCACCAGAAACGATTTGAGACATCAATGCTTTGGAGTCTTACCGGTTGTACTTGATGTTTCGTTCGATTTTGTAGGACTAAAAACAATAGATAAAAGTTAAACCATCATAGGTGGGGAATTATAATACGTACCTGTTGCTGCGTTTATTTGATGAATGAGTTTTGGTTGCAACTGCGACTGCATCAACTGTTTCTGTGACTGCTTCAGTGTCCCCTGAGGTTGCTTTAACTTTCTCTGTGTCTATCGCAGCTTTCCATTCGACTGTCTCAACTTTCTCTGCAGTTGCTTCAAGCTCCCCTATGGTTGATTCAACTTTTTCTTCGACTGCTTCAAAATTCTCTATGGTTGTTTCAACTTTCTTAGTGGTTGTCTCAGCGCTTGTTGTGGCAGTAGTAACAGCAACCTAAAAACAAACAAGACATCTTTTCAACAGCTCAATTTGAAATATGTAAAATACTTCTTAAGCAAGCTAATATGGGACTTATGAATCTAAATGAGAGTATATTAAAGATTCAGCTCTACCGCAGAGGCTAACTTGTCACATATCTAGATTACTCTTATGAAACCGCCGTAAAAAGAGAGCCAACTTGCAAAACTTTCGAAAAATTTGACATGAATGTGTTTCTCTTGAATCACATGTACACTCGAAGACAATGAAAATCAAAGAGTGTGATTTCTTACCTGTGGCTTTTTAGTTATATCGTGTTCGAAAACGACTTCTTTCATTAAACTGAGCAGCTGTTGACATGTTGGCCTCTTTTGAGGCTCATGCGCCCAGGCTCTCGAAACCAGTTCCGCAAATGAACTCGGAATATTTGCAGGAATATCCAGGCGAGCTCCTCGTAGAACGAATGCACTAATCGTTGAATCATCGGCCTCTTCGTATGGCCTACATCCTGTACCTAATTCCCAGAGCACAACACCAAGGGCATACACATCACTAGCTTCTGTATGTTTTCCCATATTCAGTAACTCGGGTGCTTTCCATGGTAAGGTACCAATAGAAGGATTGTGAGACGATTGACGCGACGTTTCATAACGCGTTTTGGCTAAACCGAAGTCGGCGACTTTGACAAGAAAGCCTTTGCCGTTCTCTGTCAGAAGAATGTTCAATGACTTGATGTCACGATGGATAATTGGTTTCGGAAGTTTATGCAAATAATTGATGCCTTTGGTCATTTGGCCAGCAATTGACCATCGATCAGGCCATGTTAGTTGTAATGTTTGTTTTTTGAGAACATCATGAAGAGAACCAAGAGACATGTGTTCGACGATAAGTGCATATTTTTCGGGTTCCATGCAAGCGCCAAATATACTGAGAATATGATCGTAGCGAATTCGATACATCATTGAAATTTCTTTGATAAGGTCTCCTTTAACTTTTTCATCCAAATAATGAATTCGAATCATTTTTATGGCGACTTCGTGATCTTGAGAAAGCCATCTTCCATGATATACATCAGCAAATCCTCCTTGTCCAATAATTTTTTCTTGTATCAAATCGTAATATGGAATATGGAGAAAGGCATGTTCTTCCTCGGCGATTTTCTGTTCTCTGGAAACGTCACTTTTTCTTATTATATTCTGCTGGAGATGATGCTTAAATGAATTAAGTCGCTGACTAATATTTTGTTCGATGCCTTTATAGTGATGAAATTGTTCATTTTGTCTTTGTACCATAAGCGATGCGATTTCATCAAGTTTGCTTTGAATGATATTTAGATCCATTTTTTGGTCATTCTCATCCAGTTTAGAATCAAAAATCTGTTTCAAATTAATACCCAAATTGAGATCAGTGACACATCGAGCAAGTTGAAGATTCAATTCTTCGAATTGCTCTTTGTAATTTTGGTTTTCGAAGATCTTAAAAAACCATGATGTTTGGTCTTTAAACTGAGTAATAAAGTCAAGGCATTGTTCAATGCAAGTATGATAGTTATTCAGAGATTTTCGAAGTTCTGATTTTTGCAGATCTTGATTATTCATTGATTTCAGGGCCAACACAATAGCATCGATTCTATCTCCTAATCGCTTGCATTGATTTTGATTCGCTTTGACGTCTGTGACAGTTTGTTGAATAGCTTCTGCTACCTGATCGATAGCGTTTAGAATAGCTGCTGGATCCATATCAATATAGATAGAATATTAAAGTGCTATAAAAAAAATGAAACAAGTAGATTTATTATCGCAGAAGCATCGGCAAAATGCAGTACGAATCGAAATGAATCGACCCATGTCTTACGTTTGATTCGATCTTAATCTTTGCAGAAATTCATCATTTCTCGAGTGAGAATGCTTCAACGAAAAAATTAGCAGTTTTAATACAAATCACGACTTCTCTACATATGTTTTATTCTAATCGATTTTTCTAGAACTTATTTTCGTCAGAATCATATGCTATAGCAATACGCCCTTTATCGGACAGAAAATTTTGCGAAAACAGAATTATTAATGAGTGTTGAAGCATACATTGCAAAGAGTGAGCTTCCAGTCCGTAACAGAAACCGCAAAAAACATGCTGACATTCTATTTTGGGTTTTTAACCTTGAGCTTTCAGATTTTCCACAGATTTTAAAGTTGTTAATCTATTTAGAATCATGGACTGCACAAAATCCAGTTTTTCTTAGCATAATACTTCTTTTTCCTTCTATAGTAAACTTTTCGAGGTACTTAAACATAATGTTCCCTTCATCTCGCGACAAATCGTGATTACAATAACAAAAATCTTTATGTAATTACAATAGAATCATTTCAATCAGAATAACATTCTCGAAGATTTTCATGAAGGAACGACAGCTTCTTTTCAGAGACATAGCACAGCTACATGGACTCATGCAGAATGTCGACATTCATGATTGAAAAAGTCTGAAATCAAATGCATCTTATAGCTTAGTAACAATAGTGCCTGCCAAATACAGTAATGCCAGTGATTCTCCAAAGCATATTTTTGAATATCATCGCAGCAGTGTCAAGCCTTTTTCTTGCGATGGACCTCTCTGACGAGGGAAGGTCCCCAACTGTCCAATCGCTTTTGAGTTCGAACCCTGTGCATAAGGTAAACTCCAGTGAGGTATGAAAAACCCCAAAAGGATAATGGTCCTTAGGCCGTCTGTCCAGAGTTATAGGGATTTTACTGGAATTTTAGCCTATGGCATGGTATTTACCAACAAATTGAATGACGATACTTCGGGTTGAGATTTTGCCCATAGACAGGTCTAGTTGTGAGTAGAATGTCCTGAAAATTTCAGCTCAAAATAATGTTTCCTTTCCGAGATATTAAAGTCCCAAAAATCACTCATATCTCACGAAAGATGCTAGAATTTTCTGTTTTTTTTTTGGACTTTAATATCTCGAGAAGAAAACATTCTTTTAAGCTGAAATTTTCAGGGCATTCTACTCACAACTAGACCTATCTATGGGCAAAATCTCAACCCGAAATATCGTCATTCGATTTGTTGGTAAATACCATGCCATAGGCTAAAATTCCAGTAAAATCCGTATAACTCTGGATAGAAGGCTTAAGGGCCGTTATCCTTTTGGGATTTTTCAAACCTCACTGGGGTCTACCTGATGCATAGAGTTGGAACTCAAAAGTGATTGGACAGTTGGGGACCTTTCCTCGTGAGACACATTCATCTCGTCTAATTTTTATTCTTCAAAACTTCGCTATATAACAGATGAATTGAATGTATTTGTGGTTTTGTGTTGTTGATGACGTGAATACAAATAGTAAAAAAAACATGCTTTTTCTTGCCACTACTAAACAGCTGAAGATTTTGTTCTCTCTTTTCTATAAAAATAATTAAATTCTAATATAATCTTGAAATTAGCCAAATATTTTGCATAAAATAGCTCGATTTTGTTATTTAGAAGCTATCATAGTAAACACTTCAATCATTTTTCTAAATCCAATTTATTTATATTGCTATACGCATTATCTAACCTTACATACTGCTCAATAAAGCAAATGTGCTATAAAATACACGATTTCTTTTTACATGCAAATGATCGTGAATATACCAAAAGAAAGACATGATTACAAGAAAGTAGCATGTTATTTAATATGTTGCAATCGAAATGCATCATTAGAATGAATGTCGAAAAGTGCACCACATAATCTACTTTAAAATATCTTCCATCAATTTCTTCAAAAACGAAAATGATTGATTTCTTATGAATTCTACGTCACTGCTTATAATTTATCTTTGTTACCTAACTCATAAATTATTGATATATCGACTTCTATTTTCTTCCAATGTTGTGGATTTGTAGAAAATTTCGATCTTCTAAATAGTAGTTAGAGTATATGCTTAAAAATAGGGAATTCATAAAAAATTAAAAATCAATTGTGCAACATACACGTTTTCGTAAACACAGTACCCAATACTCGGAATTCATCTACTTGAATGATAGCGCCTATGTGCGAAACATAGAGTGAACTATGGTATGGCAGGGTGTGGTTATGGGTATTGAGTGAGTGTAGGTTTCTATTCCAACGACACCAAAACCCACACCCGCCCAAGCCTTAAGTTGCAGAAGAAAGGCTTTCGTAGCTAATAAGAAACAAAGTCGATACAGAATATCGACTCAGATGTTCATCATTCGCTACTGTGGCGTAAAAACAGCCTACAGTAGTGTTTTATTGTTATTTTCAATTGATCATCTGTTAAGAAAATGAAACTATTAACAACATATCGTCAATGGCAAATGTTCGCCAACGAGACAATACTATTTCGCTCAGAATTTTGTGCTCAGCACAACGCTTTACTCTCACTCTTACTCATTCGTGTGTGATATGAAACTTCTCGCCATCAACAACACTCAAGATTCAGCAGTACCAGACTTTGTCCCATCCTTTTCATGAATTGTTATGTAATCAAAATGTTATTCCACAAACTCCTAGTTATAATTGTGAGACAAGAAGTTATTCGCAATCAGTAGAAAACATTGCCGCTTTTTCGCATCATTCTAACACATAGCTCCGTCGTACAAAGTATTTTCACAGCACTATTACGCATTTTAATGCACTCAAATAGTCAAGACCGTAAAAAGTCAACGTATGAAGAAATTATGAACTTATTAAAATAAGTAAAATTCTTCAAAATAGATGCTTTATTATCAATTTCATTCGTCATTTGACTAATTTTGAGCACATTAAAATACTAAAAACTCAAATAGAAAAATATATCTTCTAAAACTATCTGTTGTAAATAACTACTTATTTATACACTGACATGACTTTCGATAGACGTGAAAACTATTTTGGGGGATGGTCATACTTCGATAGAATAATATGATTATTGAAACAAAATTTCTAACATATCTCCTTCGAATAAATCGAAAAGTTTCATCTAGTATGAATATTTATTTTCAAGTCGGTATAAAGATATACATTGTCCACGTATCAATTAGATAAGTTGACTTTTTTCATCAATCCTTTATTTTTCTTCCGTCGTAGCTAATTACTATGTTTTTTGTATTTCATCATATAGCATAGAGTTAAATAATAAAGAAACTAGACAACTAATCTGAGAACTTTCTTCTTCTTTTTATAATTTATTTTTATACTAGATGACGTTGATAAACAATTACTCTTTCTTAATGATCAATTTTAAAATTTCGTAGAAAAGTTCTCGAAAATTGTCAGATATACTGGTAATCTAAGTAATGAAAAAGAAACAAAAGAAATTATACATCTTATATACGCATGTTGAATAGAGGAAAAATTCGACCTTATAACATTAATTTATTTCACCTTTTGAATGGATGTATTTACGGTTTCATCAAATACAGTCTCTCTAAAATAGTTCAACATAAAGGATAACCTAGTTTTGATCATTTTTGCATTTCTGATATGGTCATCATGATACTGTTGTTAAGACTTAAAACATCAATTTTGAGGAATTGATGTCATATGAAATCATTCAAATCTTTTATTTCAAACTAAATTAAGTGAGTAGCGTTTGAAATCAATCTACTATGTCAATTATTTATTTATACTATCGAAAATAACGATCAAATAAATAACGTTAGTGAACAATTATTTATGATCTCTATGAAAGTATAGACTAATTAGTCTTGAATAAAATGTAGAAATCTATTAAAACTTACTGATTTCGTGAATTATTTCTTTTACAACTTATCTGTTTATTTTTTCAAAATTACACAATGAAAGTTTCTTCATAATTCAAAAAATTGAAAACCTAAATGAGTGTAACAATATTGTAATGGTATAGTTTATAACAGATTGTTAGAGAATATTGATAGATCTATAAGGTTTTCATGAAGTTCTTTCAAGAAAGTTTAGAGTGTAGATACTAGATATTATGGGATCATAATGATTTACAATTAAAAAAGTATTTCAAACTGTTAGTTCATTCGGAACAAGTTAGAAGGTACGTTTTGTTTTACATTCTAGAATGACTTCAATTTTTTTTCGATCTGTATCTGCATTTAATTGATTTCTTTTCTAATTTGGTAGATCTGTCTCTGATCGCCACNTCATCAATACGCTTATTGGATGTCTTTCTCATTAAAATATATAATTAGAAACAATTTTTCTATTTCGATATTATAGATAAAATTCCTTGCAACTTTGAATGGCTAAGGTGTTAGTTGAAATTAATGAATGTAATTAACCGTAGATATACATTAGAAATTCTATATAAATCACATCAATAAAATATAAAATCAAACTGATTTAACAATAACGAAACTAGCAAATGAAAAAGCAAAGAAGACGAGTTTTTGTATTGAAAGACTAAAAACTTGCTAGTCGACCAGAATTTATAATTTTCTTATATAATATATTTTAATGAGAAAGCTATGTATCACTATATAGTTATTTCTTTACTAGTTGATCTAAAACAACTTCAATTTCGAAACAAAATAAAAATTCAGATTTATTTTAAATATTCTGAAACAATGACTGAATATTAGTATAATAGTGAAAAATGCAATTTTGGATCGAAACAAAGAATGCATTTTCTCTAAAAAAACATGATCGATCACTAAAGTCTACTTTTGCTATAAATGAGTTTTATTGTATTGTTGTAAACAGAGTAATACTTGAAAATTCATGTGAAACAAATGCTGTTCTTAATTATATTCCAAATTCCTTAGTTTCGAACTTAATATATATGATATTACACAGCGTTTGATAGAAATTATAATCGTACAAGAAGATATATACCGAATATCTGACAAGTGAATCTATTTTAAATTCTTCATTACGCTCAAGCAGCTAAAGATATTGTAATAGATTGCTCACTGTTTTGAAGTGAGTGTCATGGCATTTTGTAAATGAAATGAGCCAATTGATTGTCTGATGTTCTACGATCTATCACAAATTTCTTCTAGAAGATATCTCAGAAAAACACATTATCTTAAGAAGTTTACTATTGCTAAATGAGAATAAATGTTACAATAAACTTTTTATTGCTTTGAAGTGTAGTTAAGTAACAATAGTAAACTTATCAAAATAATGAGTTTTTGTAGATATTATTTAGACGAAATTTGTGCTAGGGCTTAAATCATCAAGTGATCAATCGACTTATTTCATCTACAACAAAATATCATGAAACATGCTTCACAGCAGAGAAAAATTCATTATCATATCTTTGGTTGATTGATAGTAATAAAAAAAATATAAAGTAGAATTACTTTTCAGACAAGAAAAGATTGAAGAGCAATGTAAATAATACTTCAACATTCTTTAGCAATAGATGAGAATCGGGAACTCGAATGAGTCTTCAGCAAATATCCTTTACTTGAATTACAATTCAACAAAAAATTTAGACACCAGTTATACCTATCTTAACGGTATAATTTTCGAAAATAATTTGATGGATGAACATATATTGAGTTTTGTACCCTTTAAAAACCATTAGGATACATTGAATTCAACAATTTCATTTAGTATTTGCTATCATTTAGACAAAAAAATGATATTCTTATTTAATTATATAAATTGCTATGAGATAGAAACTATTTCAATTCTCTACACATTTATATCATGATTGTAAAAAGTCTCTAGAGCCAACCATGGGATAAGATAAGATTCAGAAATAAAACAGATAACAGAAAATAGTTCTATTGCTTCCATTCTAATGGTCAGATATTTCAGCGATCTAACCTCACTAATTAATCAGCAAAAGTTTAAGTTTCTTGACACGATCTACAATGGCTTTTCATGAGCTTAGTTTTTCTGAGTTTCTAAAATTGCTGTGTTTCCAATGAAATATTAATCTTTATATAAGATGTCTGTTTTTATATAATAGTCTTTCATTTAGTAAACTGAATAAAAGGGTTGCTTACCAGCTAATAGTCTTTGCTTTTTCACTACAATAGCTTTCTTACGCCATTCCATACCCTTGTCGAAATTACCGGCTTGTGCTGCGAGATTGGCTAGATCTTCATATAAATCATCAAGTAAAGTGTCATCGACTGAGAGTTGTTCTGTCAAGCGAATAAAATATTTCTCAGCCAAATCAAATTTACTCATCCCCGATAGTAGTCTTCCTAATGTTCGAAGATCTGTTTCTCCACTTCCAAATTTTTGTTTCATATCCATAAGAACGTGCTTTAATTCATGTTCATTATCACTACATAAAGTCATTTCGATAATCCATACATGACTATCACCACTGCGTTTGATACTTTTCAAACGAAAAATAGAACCAAGCATAAAAAGAATTTCTGCTTCGCCAGGATATGCACTATGTGGACTGATATCAGCGAATGGTTTTGTAATAGCCACGAGAGGATCAGCATCAATTTCAAATAGTACAGATTCGAAGTTGCTTGTAGCATCAGAAAGATTAAGAAATGAAAGAGCTTTTTGTTTGTTAGTACTAGTGGAAAAGAATGAATTTACTGAAATTAACTGACCATGACATTGTTTCAAAGGTTCCAATTCATCACTTGACATCCTCTGGCTACGATAAACTCGTAGAGCTTGTTTAGCTTGGTTTTCTTTCAATTGATTATAAATATTGAAAATAAACACACGAAATAAAAAAATTAAATGAATATCTTGCATACGCAGAGCTTCATTAAGAGTCTTGTAAAAGAATGATTCTCTTGTATACCACCATAGAGCTCTGTTTGCTGAATATTTCTTGTCAAATTCATGAAGATTGTGTAATTCAGCAATGTCATTCTCATATTTCTGTTTACAAAGGCAAATAAGTTCTTGTTTATCTGCTTCAATGTATTTTAATCGGAGAAGACAATCAATCAGAAGTTGAGAATAAACAAATTGACCATTAATACCCATGGTTGATGTACCTGCACTAGTACTTGTAGTAAAAATATTAATGGACAAAGGTTCTTCTACTATTTTCTGAATTCTATGATCAGCTCCAATTCGAAAAATGAGCTCATCAAGTTCAACAACAACAGCTTTTACCTGTTAAGCAAACATTATAAAATAAAATCAAAATTATTTTAAACAATTTTACTTTTGCAAATGTGCGAGCCCATTGTTCGTTCTTTTCCTTATTCATGCAGTATACATATATTGATACAACTTGTTGAAGTTTATGAATCGAAGGAACTATTTCTTGTCCTAATTGACCACTAACAATCATTATTAGTCGATCTTTATGTGATCGTTCTTCAATATATTTTTGACACTGTGTTACGTCTTGAAACTTTAAGAGATTGTTAATAATAGAACGCAATCTTTGTTCGGTATTTCGATTTTCTTCAACGCTTATGTTGGCATCGAGCCATATAAGACAGACAATTTTAGGATGGTGATCGTCGATGTTTGCATGATAGTCATCAATATGTGGAATAGATGTGGTCGTCTCGATCAAAGAAACTAGATAGAATAGAAATTTTAAGTGTTGTTTATTCGATTGAGTTGCCCAATATAAGAGTATTTTCAGCATATGAAAATGAATTTTATACTCGAATTTTTATTATTTTATGTATTAGTATTTATGATATTGTTTTCTTTTCTAGTTTTGATGCCATGTCAGACGATCGGAGAACAACATGTTCGGTTTTGTGGAAGAAAGTGATTTGCCTTAGATTCTTAGTTTTTCTAGATAAGATCATCGAACCATGATGTAAAACTTGAATATGGATCGATGTTATGTGCATTTTTTCACTTAGTCATCTAAGAAGTTTAAAAACCAGACGATATCATTTCTCAATAAGTTAGACACTCAGTTTGAAGTAGCTGAATCATTAAATCGATGTATTACTTGTTCTTAGAAAAGCCTATCACTTTGAAGAAATGTCGTTTCTTATCGGCTTGAAGAAGTCCTAGGAATTGATCCTGAAAGAAATATGAGACTGTCCACTAAGATTAAAACTAAAAGGGTAGAAGTTTGTTGTTGAACTTGATGAGCTCATTTTTCGAATTGGAGCTGATCATAGGATTCAGAAAATAGTAGAAGAACCTTTGTCCATNATAATCCAATCTAAAAGAATAAAATAAAATACAATAAACTTCACTTTAACCACATCTGCACATTGATCGGTGTAATGTAATTTACACATACTATATAGCGTATGAGTGAGGGCGCTGTGATTAAAGTGAAGTTTATTGTATTTTATTTTATTCTTTTAGATTGGATTATTCTAACAGTTTCATCATCAGTGAGTAGAAACCATTTACTTCATTTAATTTTTTTTAATTGTTTTAATTTTAATTTAATTTTTAGTTATTTTTGTTTTTATTTTACTATTTGTTTTCTTTTGTCTTGTTTTAGATTGTGTTACGGCAAGAAGTCTATTAACAGTGAGTATAAACTATTTTATTTTTATTTAATTCAATCTTATTTAAGAAAATTTAAGATAAACTAATTTCAAACGTAATTTAGAGCTAACTGAGGAGAGAAAAGAAGCGTGGTGGGAGAAGTGTGGTCATACAGTAGCTAATATTTGGCTATAAATTCAACAGCTTTGATGGGTTTCCGATAGGATTCTACGTTCGGATTACTCGTCCTGGGAAGAATTTATATAAGAGAAAGTTTTAGATATAAAACTGGCCAGACGTGTAAAACTTGTATGAGTCTACCAAACAAAATAATAATTGCTTGATAAACATGAGATCTCAGATGTTCTTCCAACCTATATATAAAAAATCATTTGATACCTTCAAGATTTTCAGGACCGTTAACAATAACTCATAAAGCAAAACAAACTATGATGAAAAAACAAATTTAGTTGAGTAAACAATCGTAATAGCTTACACACTTGAATATTGTTAATAGTATGGCTTTTATAATAGATTGCATATCGTTGATAGTAATCAGCTGGAATATTATTTTTTGAAATATATATATATATATATAAGGAATAAAATTTTAAAAGATATTCCTATGAAAATTTGGAATTATCAACACCATCAACTTTATTTTCTATTCGTCAACTGCTTGATTGATTAAAATATTTAAGTATTTTATTGTCATTAAATATAGTTTGATATTGACCATGTCATATAAACATTAAAGTATATTCATCATTGTTATCAAACCATTGAACATCATGTTCATCTTATTTATGATCTTTTTTCAATAAATTATAATCGAAGAAGTTTATAACAATTTTAGAGATGCTTAGAGTCGACTTTTCACCATCAGTTGATGATAACAATATTTTCCACTCACATCTTTACTCAAATGTTTTAGCACAGATTACATCATAAATGCTTCTCATTCAAATGAAAGTATAGATCGCTCTCGATTTTATTCAAAGTTGGCAATGGTGGCATCTTATAAAAGAAAAAATACTTACGTTCAACTTAGGTTACAGCTTAAAAAATAGAAATCATACTGCAATTTCTATTACAACATGCCATCTGTCTAAACAATGACAGAGTAAATATTTGTATATAAGCATTACTTTTTTTTTGTTATTTTCTTGAGCATTTTTGCATAATCTATCATACGTCAAATATATAAAAGTTTGAAAAATGAAACAAACGATGTTGCCGATGTCGTTGATTCCATTTACTAATCAATTTTCAAGTAAAATAGGTTTTCTAAAACAATTTCAAGCAATATTGAATGTAAGTGGATAATGACTCTTGAGCTTTGGCAACCCCAGATTTCAAATAATTATTATATGATTATGAAAATTTAGGAGTGCGTTTTGATATTTGAGGATGACGATAGAAACATAACGAAATTTTTATGATTAAATATCAATCCGAAGATGCTCAAGTAATTTCAGTAATTAGAAATTAATATATTAATGAAAACAGCAATTGACCATAGAGCTTTTATAGCCAGCTTCACAAGATTTTACAGTTGTGCGGTTTCAGTCCTGATCACCTAGTTTAAGAGAAGTAAAAAGACAGTTTTTCTCTTTAAAATATTTTTTAAAGAATATTTGTTCGGTTGACATCTCGAATGTCTAATTTGCCTTCTCTTAGTGCTTCTTTTGTTATTCATAAGTTGTTATTTATTTCACATTCGCTAAATATTTGTCGAGTAGAAATATTATTGAACATTTCAACTGCTACAATAAAATGAAGTCCATTCAATATAAATGAGATCGATGGATTTTATTGTTCTTCTACTTATGTAGAATATTTTAGTTTTTATCTTGATGATACTATAAATACATCTAAACTTTTCAATAACATACCTAAAACAATATCAAATATAGTGATCCGCCATTCTGTTAATATAACTTCTGATACTTTTCATATTTTCATTACACATGATTGACTTGAACAAAGCATATAATTGTATCATTTTTCTTAATCATGTAATAATTTCAATGCTGCCAGTTTGTGGCTCTAATTTTAGTTTCTTTTCTCTTTATAATTGAAGTAATGTTTAATTATGTTAATTATTGAAAATTGTATTGGATCGTTATTGTATTTCTTTTTAATAATAAAAAAATAAAATAATGATATACAATTTTGAAGTTTATTATTGATTAACAGCTACATGTATTTTCTCTTAAGATTTTAACATAAATTTTCTTTTTGTTTTTAATATTTGAAGCAATTTAACGCTTAATATCACCAGGCAAAAATGAATAAGAATTATTCAATGTATAGAATATTTTAATAATATAATCAAATAATGATTCTATTGTCATTGATGTTTAGAAATGAAATGATCTGAGCAATTCAAATTATTTGAAAATAAATTTGACATCGAATTGTGTTAAGTCAATTTGAAATAAATTCATAATTTTCAACATGAATAACATGATACTTAAATCAATATCTCGAAATTTCGAGTTAAGTTTTTGACTATACATTGATTGTCTTTGTTCTAGTTTTAGGAATTTTTTACAATTCCTGTTTAATGATAAATAATCAAGTCTTTCAAATTATTCTTTTCAATTGTGTTGAAATATCAACAATTCGGACAAAGCCTCACTTTTGTTTGAATAGTAAAAACTTCTGTATTAGTATCTCTTCTTTTCTTTTTTTTATACATACATGAGAACGATGTACATTGATAGACTACGTTATATAATTTATTGAGAAATTCTGGTGATAGACTATCATTTTGGTAAAAATCAATCAAATATAAATGAATGAAAAATTGTTATATCATGATAATATTTGTAAGAGAAGATCATTTCAGTTTATTTATTTATTTTAGTGCAATAGGTCTCTAATATAATGAAGATAAAAATTCTTTTTTCAAATACATTCATTGCAATTTGCTCTTTTTCTGTGTAAGTGTCATTAAACATGACTTCAATTTGTATTAGGATTACCTAATTTTTTCAAATAATAAAACATATCTATCCATGCAGTTGTAAATGAATTATAATTATGATAGGGTAAACCAAATTTGTAACATTCTTCTTGAACAATATGTGCAATTTTTGGATAAAGATAAATATTCATAGAAGGAAATAAATGATGCTCGATTTGATGATTTAATCCACCACTAAGAAAAGTGGCAATATAACTACCAGATTTCCAATTAGCTGTTGTGTAAACTTGATGAATAGCCCAGTGCAACGATCGTCGATTATCAACATTGATCATTGGTGGTATTTGCAACTTTTCTTGTATGTGATTGACAATAAAGATATTTTCGAGATAATATGCACCGATTACCATAAAGATGATGAAAGTAATTAATGTGTATTTTCCACCAAAATATATGTAAGGAATAATTATATGAATTATCAACCATAAAACTTTAGATATTAATGTTGAAATAATGATAATAAATTTAGTAGCTAAACGAATATTACCAGCTTTTGATTTGATTAAATATTCAATATCATTTATTGTCCATTTCAAAAATCCAATACTCATTAAAGTAGGAACAAGAATATGTTGATATCGACGTACGAAAATACGAAAACGAGATGATTTCTCTTTCATATTTTCATTTTTCGTTTGTTCAATGTCAGAAATAAATGGATGAAATCGAAATAATGGATCGCCTATTTCACAATCGTTATCTCTACGATATTCGTTGGGCATGATATGATGTGCTATTTGATGTTCATAATTCCATGTATAATGAGAACTGCCAATTATATCCATGAAGAAACCAACAAACTGATTCCAATATGGATTTGATGATATAGCACAATGATTACCCGAATGCATCAAAAAACCCATTCGTGCCATAATTACACCTAAACACACAGCTGCAAGATAACTGCATTGAAAACTTTTATAATAGATCGCTATGCAATATAATGTTAATGTCAATATAGCTTCGATCTGATATATCGATTGGTATACATGACGACCACCATTAGTTTTTTGAAGGTATGCATCAACTCGATTGCGAAGTGTGTAAAAGAACTTAGTCGAATCTACTGTTGTGCCAGTATTATCATCATTGTCATTATTTATCATATATTTACACTCAGAATCTACTTCAGTAGATATTTCTCCGAGGTATTTACCATGTTTCATTAATAATGCTTGACATTTCTTGATACTGTTCGTACTATGATAACTCTCGAATAAACATGTTGCATCAGGAATTCCTGCTGCATATTGAATAATATTGCCTCCTGGATGAATATTAAGGAATGATGTTATATCATATACCTGATCATACAAAACAATCCATGATGATTTTTTGTCGCTGCCATTGTGTTCTTCTACTTGTTTTAAAGTAATACAGGGCATCGTTTTGTCGTTATATGACATAGAATACTATATTGTATCGAAATGAATGGATGGGCTGTGAGACGTAGAAGGCGTTGTAATTTCGTTTTCAGTACGATGCGAGTTGTAAGAGAATAGAAAAGAAAAAAATTCTGAGATGAATAAATATATTAGTAGGCGAACACAAGAAAATGAAAGACTTGATCTATAATTAGTAGTAAAATAAGCATTAGATGTTTCCTTAGCATTATGATATATATAACGAACTTAAATTCAAACAAAATCAAGGACTATAAAATCTATAATTCTAGATGATATGTTCGGAATTTGAGGAATAAAAAAGAAAATGAAAATAATCAGTTCTTTGCTATTTTCATCAAAATTTTGTTTTAATCGTAAAATTTCTCACAAAACAAGACATGTATGATTATGAAAAATTTCAATGAATCTTTTGTCTAAAGTCCTAAAGATAAATATATCGATCAATGATAAGTTTTTGTCGAAATTTTCCAATTAACGTCTGATATCTCAAAGGTTAAAGTAGACGATGAATTATTGTTCGATTGTATCTATACATCGAATCCTGTTTTACTAGTAAATTATTTGTCGAAATATGGTTGAGTCTGATATACATATGTAGATAAATAATTACTCTTAATAAATATAATTTTTGATATCTTAAATAAGAAATAAATATATTTAAGTGTTTCATACTGTTTTGGTTTAGTGTGAATTCCACAATTCAGTTCTCTTCGCGAACACACAAATTTCACTAAAAGATCTTTCAAATCACATATATGAAAACCTACGATTAGTCCTAAATAAATTTTTCAAAATAGAAATTAAAGAAGATTGTTAAATAGAAAACAATCTTCGATCGCTACAAAAAATAATATTATGTTTCATTTGATATCATTTTATTAATGTGTCTATATTTCTATTGCCCTATTTGTATAATATATGATATATACTATTTCGTCATACTAAGATATATGTCGACTCATCCCCGTAGTCAGAATGAAATTTGCGACCAACATCATCATTGTTAATATTTCTTTTTGTCGAGAAAAAAATGACACCAGCTGGTTTCCTCATTTATCTACTTTCCAAATATTATTAGTTTTTCTTTTATAGTTATGAACAGAAGACAAAGAAAAGAAAAAGAGAACATATGTGTTGAATATGATCATGTTAACCTCGATTTTCTTATTGTATCTTGATTTCTATAATGATATAGAAAAAAAAAATTGATCAAGATCACATTAACTTTAGTTTATGTCAAAAATATATCGTCGTCGATTGTTAACTACGAGAGTTATTTTATGCAGCAAAATAAACAATTGATCTATTGGTTTCAATCTCAATTTATTTTTAGAATAATATTGTAAATAGTCGGCTTTTGCAACAAGCATAATGTTTTGTGTCTTGATCAATTAAATAACCATTAAAAATAGTATTGAATGTATTACTGATATATATATATATATATATATATATACGTATTTAAAAGGCAGAAAGAAAAAAATGTCGAAAAAAGTCCTTTCAAAAACAAAAACCTTGAAAAGAAAAATATCAAACTTGAATATATGTCGAAAAGTGAGAAGATAATTATTTCTTTTGCTTTCACATAAGTAGTTTTATTATTATATTAAAATACAGAAAAATAAATTCGATACAAATTATCTTTTACATAATAGAGAACATTGAACAACATTGAATTCTATTTTATTTATCATTACTAATGACAAGTCATCTAACAATTAATTAAAACCATTCTTTTTTTTTTCATACTCTCAACAGTATTGTCTTTTACGTTTGCCATTGAAATGTCGAAAAACAAAACCATTTTTAGTCACCAGTTTCATCTTTATCCTCATTGTTATGTTGTATGTATTTCTGTCGTATTGGATTATATTGATCAAAACTTAGATAAAGTTTTTTAGTCAAAGATTTATTATTTTCGACATTTAGTAACTTTACAACATTAAATTAGTCAAAAGTCAAAATGTCAAAAACTATAAATCCTTGTTGAAAAAAGCTTTTCTAAATGTTGAACAATAGAATTTAATATGACACATATACACATATCATTATTGTGAAGATGAAAGCTAAATGAGTAACTAAAAAGAGTTTGGATTTTCGATTTTTAACTACGAAATCATTCAATTTCATTTGTACCTTTTTTTCATGTTTAATTAATATATTTTAACTACATTCGACCTTAAGTGTTATGAATGAATATTTCATGAATTTTTTTGTTATTTTTATAAGTCTATCAAAGAAAAAATTTTAAGTTTTATGCAAAAATCATTTTCTTTAGAAGAACAAAACAAAGTCAAGATCACTGTCGATTGTATCAAATAATTCAAAATCACCAACACCGTTAAATAGTTAGAGAAATTTTTAAATTATCGTATCAATATAAATAACTAACGTTATAGAATAATGACCATTTTTATCGTAAGTTAAAATCTTTTTAATTGATATTGTATTATTGAACACAATTTTAAGTGAGTGAAAATATTTTTTCTCATTTAACAATGAAGTTTTGTTAATTTGAATTATATATTTGTCGAGATTTTTGTTCAAGGAAAGATTGAATTGCAGTAAATTTGACGGTTTTCTTTATAATTCATTGTTTAAATTAACAAATCTATAAAAAAATTCTATAAAATGAATCGTACTGAAAAGGCTATCAAAATCGTGTAAACCATTTAACTCGTCAAAACTGTATGAGATTCTAGTTTTATTTGAGTGAAAAATACGGAGCTTTTTTTTACGATTGAATGAAATACATTTTTCTCTAAACAATATTTATAGTTTATTCGAATAAAGGGTTTTTTTTCTGACGGTAAAATGAAAAAGTAACGTTTTGATCAATGAGTTGATCAAAAGTCGAAAACAAATAGAAAAGTAGATATACCGAAGGAATATGTTTTTAAGGAATTTTGCTAATTAATTCGTTAATATATTTATACGATTCATTATCTATTATTATCTGACTTCGCATCTTTAATATACAAGAACAGTTGTTCGAAAAGATTCATGCATTTCCTTCTTTTTTTTTTTATCGTGTGTTCATTTGAATTATGTTAAAAGATGAAAAAGAAAAACAAAATCTACAAAAATTTGCCTTTGATCATGATTACTTATAAACAAACAGAATCTTCTTCTATCTTTCTAATAATAGATCCGAACTATTCTATTTTATAACTTAATCTTTACCTGCGAATGAACATTTTATGAATTTTCATTGTCCAGATCGATCGATCTAACACATAATAGAAAATTCTCTTGTGTATGTTAAGAAAGTAGAATAAATTCCAAAAGAACACTATCGATGGTTTACATTGCATCAAAAGAATTTTATTTATTTTAATCAGTTTTACTTTTCGTATAAATTTATTAAGAAATATTCGATTATGATAATCTAAACGAATCGAAAACAAGCAAAAAAAAATTAGCCATTATAACATTGAATATTAAGAAAAGTCGATCAACATGTTAGAATATGTTGGTAATGAAGAGTATCGATTGATCGTTAGATTATCTCTCTGATTTACTATCTTTCATCGGCTTTATTTCCAGCTGTCAAATACAAATTCACTAGTTCAAAGAATTGAGCGGCGAATTTTTCTTCATATATTCATTTTAATTATCTCAAAAAAAAAATGAGAAGAAAGTTGAAACATTGTCGAAAATTATTGAAAAATAACTATCATTGATTTATTTTTGTGGTATTATTATATTAGTTTTGAATGAATATTTCCTAAATTTCTATTCGTATGATTATATTCATAGAAAATTAAAACATTGAGAAAAGCTCAATTTAAAATAATTTATTCACTTCAGAAAATTTCTAGAAGATCGAATTAAAAATCTCTTTCGATTTTTATTGATCGTTACTTTATAAATCTATATTCTATTGAAGATCGAAAAATTAATCATTTTAATTAAATATTTAGTTTTTCATTTTGAATGTCAACGGATTTTTTTATTTCTATTAAGTGAAAAATAAAGAAAACTTGTGATAGTTTACATCAATGTTATGTTTTATATTGTATTAATCAATGATTTTTTCTTATTTAGACTTCGAAGAGAATTAGAATTTTCAATTTAATTAGACAAAACGAAGAATATTTCTCTTTGAATAATATTCAAATAGATTTACAAATTTAATTAGATTATCGAACAAAATTATATATAATGTTGATTCATTTTAAATATAATAAAACAAATCAATATTTGTCGCATTTAAGTTAAGGGAAAAATTCTTTTTACTTGATAAAACAAATCGTTTGTCTTATAAATCATTTAGAAGAAAATGTTCTAACAAATAATAACCAATATTTTCAATAAATGTTATTTTATGAAGATATATTAAATGACGTAATTGTTTCTTTATCTAAGAATTGTAGAAAACAAAAAATCGTTAAATGAATAAATTTGTTTTCATTGATAAAATTTTCGATAGAATGATAAAAATAAAAATGTCAAAGTAGTAATAATGTTATTCTCTAAGGTATAAGAGAATTGTCTAGCATTTGATCACACAGATAGAAGGCATTTCTTTCGTGTGAATTGATGATTATAATCATTGTTTCATTCGTTCATTCATTCATTCATTCATATATTAGTCTAACGGCATGTGTTCAAATTAAAAGTGTGAAAATATAAGATAGAAGCTGCCTGCTGTGCATCTTTATAAAAAAACATGAAAAACATATGTTTATTGAGAAATATTTCGTTGTCTTCGTGAATAGATTGTTCAAATATCTATCATTCAAATATAATATAAAATAATGATTTATTTATCTTTATTAGAAATTGAAATACTTGAATGTCAAGAGCATCTTCGTATACAAATATAGAATGACGCCAATAAGTTCGACTCTTCAACTACATTTCGTTTTTTTTTTTTTTTTTTTTTTTCAAAATAAAACGAAATGATTTTAAAAAAAGTGAATTGACTCAATTTGAATTTATATTGAATATATGATAATATTAACCGTTTTCTAATCGATCAAAGAAAAAAGAAAAACAAAGAAAATGATGAATACATGTTTAGACGAAAAGAAATCGCTAAAAACATATTTACTTTAAAGATGTTCTTTCTCTTTAACATACGATCAATGGACATCAGTTTCAAATGTCAATATTTACAAATGACATCTCACAGTGATAGAAAATAAA